GTGACTTTATTAGAAGCTCTCTATATGCGAAAAGATTTTGAATTTTATTTTCAAAACCAACCATCACCCTTAAATTCAGTCATTTCTGCAATTACCAAAGATCTAAGACCTTTCAGATTTTAAGGAGGCCACCTTTCATGCCTTAATGAGAGAAATTAGGTTTCAGGGTGTGAAAAATGGGGGTGAAGTCATAATGGTGGAGAGAGTAAACAGTGATGTGGCATCATGTTTATCCCACTGCAGTCAAAAAGACACAGAAAAGAGGGAATGAATGTGGTTTACACTAATGAATGGTGGAAAGACCTGCCACAAAAGCCTGCTATTGTGGCAGGTCTTTCCACAGGATTGAAGCCTTCTGCTTGAGATCTGTGTTTTGCCTTGATCCACACTGGGAATGAACATCGCTGTGCACCCAATGCACGACATATATTTCTGTGCAAGAGGAACAGTGGATGTACATGACAAAATGGATGGTGACATTTGTGGACAATACTTGGAAGATCAATGTCTTGTAATTCTGCGTCCAAGGCTGCGCTGTAGCTCAAGTGGTTAGTCACTGGCTTCCCACCGCGGCGGCCCGGGCTCAATCCCGGGTCTGGTCAAGTGGGATTTGTGGTGGACAAAGTGGCACTGGGGCAAGTTTTCTCCGAGTACTTTGGTTTCCTCTGCCAATCTTCATTCCACCAGTTGCTCCACAATCACGCTCACCTATAAATTGGGGCTCGTACAATAGGCCAGAAGTGGCCACAGTACAAGGGACTTAGTCCCACCCCGCTAGCAATAAAAAAAAAATTCTGCATCCAAACTTAGTAATGGTTCTGGCAATGGATCCTGCCACAGCAGCAGAATTGAAACATTTGAACACTCTCTTGGAGGGAAGACAAAAAATTCAGGATTGGAATTACACTGCATAGAGGAACTTCGGAGGAGTACGTGCATAAGAAGCATTTAATGGAAACTGTAGATGGGGTCAGGCCTGAATATTAAAAGTATAAGACTGATGAAATGGAAAAGGAAATTGGTCATACAGTTCTGCATCTACCACTGTATGACTGTGAACTGAACCCACTTGAACCCTTGGGCTCAAGTAAACCATAATGTAAAAATGATTGATACAAGTTAAAAAATAAAAGACATGGAGCAACTAATCCAACAAGGGTTTGACAGATGGAAAGGCTGTGTAGAAAATGTGACAGGTGTTGAGGCTGATATGTGGAAACTCAACGAATTGTAGGACAACAATGAGCCATTAGTTATGAATTTTTATGATAGCAGTTCACTTCATGAAGATTCAGCCAACACTGACCAAGGGAATAGTGGCGAGGGCTGTGCGCAGTTTATGGAAGGTATAGAATATCTTCATTAATGTGAAAGGTTATCTGTTAAGCAGCAGTAATTTTATATTGCCACATACCCACCGACTAAATAAAAATGTAATGCATCGTTTTCACAATTGTATGAGTGTAAACAAAAGTAAAGTTGTTCCCATGCTTCTGAATTAGTTGAGTACTGTGCCATGAACATATGGGGGAGTGAAGGTATAGCTCCACCTTTCTAGACCTCAGCACTAAATGGAGTTGAATGATAAGCTTCATGTCCCTGCTGCTTTTCCCTCAGGGAAAGAGCCCCCGTGCCAATTGGAAAAGAGGCTGCGTTGGCCTCAGAATCAGTCTCGATGCTGTGGAGAAGAGATTGCATGAGTGTGCACGTGATTTTTGGTTAGAGTGTATTTATGGGAAACTGCTATAACACCGCAGGTGTTTCAAAAGTATGGCAAGTATCCACATTTCCTTGACCTTGCCACTGGTTGGAGGTGAATAGTCAACTTCATGCCCCTGCTGCTTTACTCCTGGGAAAAGAGCCCTGGTATCCATTGGGTAGGTGGCTGGGTGGGCCCCAGTGCCGGGCTGGACACTGGGAGAGGAGAAAATTCTTGACCCTACTGGGACTGAAATTCTGACCCCTCAGTCATCCACCCTGTAGCCAGTCCCTGACTGACTACGCTATCCCAGCTTTTTGAACCAAATTGGTTCCTGTTAAAATAATTTAATATATAAATTATTTTAAAAGAGTTGGAAAAATGATTGAAAGTGATGCATTCTGTGTGCTGTTGTTTCCTGTGCTGTGTTTATTTTGGTGACATGTATTTCGTGGCTGGTATCTCAGTTACCTGCAATGTGACAAGAATATATTACACATTGTATGCTTTATGTCATTTAGTGTGTGAACCACTGGTGGCCAGTGTGTGTCAGCTACAAATCTGTTATATGTGATGTGCTGCTCTCTGGCGTAGAGCCCATATAAGAACTCAAATATTGGGTTGTGTAAGTGTGGGTTTCCTTCATCCATATTAAATTATCTTGTGCTGCTGTCAGTCAGTAGATATGTTGCAGTAATACTGAGTTATTGGGCACCTGTGTGTAATTCTCAGCTGGTCGTTAACTGACTAACTCTAAGGAGCCAAGTCCTTTGTGAGAAGTCAGCAGTCATTCGCTACTGAAGATTGTCCCATCTTTTATAGAACAAGAAGTTCTTTACCATATTAATGGTCCAGTGGTCTCTATCCTGAGCCAGATGAATTCAGTGCATGCCCACCCATCCTACTTCTCACACATTCATTATAATATTATCCCATCTATATTTCTAGATCTTCCAAGTGGTCTTTTTCTCTCCAGTTTTCCCACCAAAACCCTGTATGCATTCCTCTTCTCTCCATTTCACGATATATGCACTGTCCGTGCTGAAGAGTACAAGTTACGGAACTCATCATTATGCAATTTTCTCCAGCCTCCTATTATTACATCCCACTTGGGTCCAAATATTCTCCACAGCACCCTGTTCTCAAACACCCTCAGTCTCTGTTTTCTCCTTAATATCAGAGACAAAATTTCATATTCATACAAAACTAGAGGCACAATTGTGGATCTGTATATCTTAATTTTTATGATTTTAGATAGCAAATGGGAAGACAGAAGGTTCTGAATTGAATCATAGCGAACATTACCTGAATTCAGTCTGCTGTTAATTTCCACATGAATAAAATTTAGATTTGTTACTGTCATTCCCACATATTTAAATTTTGCCACATTTTCAAATGATCTGTTAGCCATCTTTATATTGTGATTTTATCCTACATTCTTAGCTTTCTCTGTGTTTAGCTGTAGATCAGCCTCCTTACTAGTGACAGTTATAGAGCTTTTGTGGTTTTCTTTATGGTATTCATGTTATCTCCCAGTCTCACATGTCCAGTGCCTGTGTGCAGTTGTGACAGTTTATTTTGTAGCTGCATATTTCAGTCTTAAATATCGAAAGCATTGGATTGGACCTTGGGTGGTTTCATGTCGAGTGTCGTGGCGCAGAAAATGGTACTGAAGCAGGTTTTCTCCAAACTTCCATTTTCTTCTACTGATCATCATTCCATCATTGTTTCAAACTTGTGTATCCCCCCCCCTGATTGTATGCAGTAGCCCCCAGCCAGGCACTGCATTATCACATCCTTTGGTCTTTAAGTTGAGGACTTCATCTGTGCCTTGGTGCATGACTGGTCACAGAGTAAGGAACATTATAGTCGTCTTGTTGTATATGCGTTATTGTTGTATAAGAACTGTTTCATTTGGTAAAGGTATTGTATACGCTATGTTACTTCATTTGCATTTACTCTTAATATGTTATTTCATTAGCATTTAATTTTAATAGAAATGTAACAGAAATGGTAGCGACACAGGAGGACGAAAGTATGCAGTCGAGATAACCAAGGGGGTCAGACGCGTGACCTCCGTCTCACGCAGCTGTGGCTGCTAAAAAGCACGTAACATAGGGTACAGGGAGAGAAGCCCACACAAAAAAGAGGCCAGACATAAGCAAGCAAACTAAGAGAGCCCTGCTCTGAAATATTCCTTACGACTGGTGTGTTATTAAAACAAAGAATGTACACAGTCTGATGCAGACGGAGCGAGAGACTAGTCGTTGACCGAGATAGCGGCTAGGTAGAGCCAAGACAGCCTTCCCTCCCTGGAACCCTAGCTATCAGTCCTCAGGTGTAGCGTACATGTGTAATCTACAGAAATTAGTTAATAAACTCAATTTGCTGATTACACCACTCTTGTCGGATCAAACGATCCTCCTCTGTCAACCCGCATACCCAGCGATTTCCACGCGCGCCCCAGCCTAGGGAGCACCAGACCTAGACATGACTAGTGCGTCGGTAACATCCACGATACGCCAGCGCCGGGCATCCAGCGAGGAACTTCGGGATACAACAGTCTGTCTTGATATTATTCTCTCATTCATGCATAGTTTTACAAAATGGACTTTCCCATTGAGTTCTCTGAGAAATTTATACACGTTTCTTTTTCTACCATGTAGTTGTATTTACATGCACCACCCATCTCATCCTCTCTAATTTGATTTTCTTTTCTTTCCTTACCACATATCATACATGTACCTGAGGGGACTGGCATAGCTCGCTTGAAATTACTGATGGGATATTGGCTGGGTGATCAACGATTCAGGATTTGATTACAGGAAGGAAGAGATTTATCTCTTCTCCACAGCATTCAGATTGGTCCTAGGGCCCACCCAACCTCATACGCAGTGGGTGCTGGGGGCTGTTTCCCTAGAAGTAAACTGTGGTGTGTGAAGGTGACTGCATACCCCCAACTAGTGCTAAAGTGTAGAATATGTGGAGCTGTAGTTCCACTCCCTGATACATCTTTATGGGATGGTGCTAAGTTAAGCACAGGAACATGTTACTATTTTTCCATGTGCCTGACTTGCAAGGAACCCAGTTTACACCTGAGTGTGGGACTAGGTATCTTGACTCAGTTTCATGGTGTTTTAGTGCCGCTCGGAAAGGATCCTCCAAAAAATAAATGAAACAGGAGTTTGGAAACAGCTTTCAGATTTTTTCTATACAAACTTCAGTATTGAAAGCAGTGATAAGTCATTAAATCTCCATTTCATGATATTTGTTGAAGTCTAACAGTACGATTTTTTTGTAGTGTGGTAATTCTTGCACCATCCAGTTTCTACCTGGAAGAAGCTTTCTCCGTACTCCATTTCCAGCATTGGCGTCAGATACGTTTCTACTTGGGATGTCTTCTCAGTGGCATATTGGGAATTCTGTTACAATTGTGTGCGGCAAAACTCCGTTCCAGTCACAGATTGCAACAAACACAAGCCTTAGCAAAACTTTGTGCCTGTCTTGTAGCAATACCAGTATTTAGTACCGAACTGTCGGTTTCTGTTTGGGGATTTGCAGCTACAAATTTAATTTCTAGTGTGTTGATTCCTTCAAACTGTGAATCGTCTGAGAAACGTGATGATTTCTTAAGTGTATAAAAGTGTCTAAGTTTGTTTGTACTCGGATTTGGATGGAGAAGTCATTGCCATTTTCTCCGTATTCATCATACTTTGATACATTTTAAATATGTGCAGTTTTAATATCGACTTGTTCCACATGCTTTGATTGGCGCTCTCAGATGGCGCTAAGGGTGTGGAACTTATTTGTGAAAGTTTCTCATCATTGAACTCTTCAGTGTGTGATCCATTTTTACAATGGTATTCTTTGTAAGTGACATTTTAGGTCATGTTATCAATGAACTCCACCCATATGCAGGTATGCTCTGTTGGTATTTTTTTGTTTTAAATTTGTATGTTGTAAAAGTATCTAGCATAATTTTTCAGTTGCATTAGAGCAATTGCAAAATAATGTTTATTTCATATTGAAAATAAAAACAGTTTTGTAAGATTTGAGGCTTTCACGGCGGTGACTATGAAGAAAGCAGTCTTCTGGGATTTGGCACCATGTATATGTGGTGTTAACCGACGTTTTTTACCAGTTCTCACGGTCTCTTTCCTTGCGGATTTCTTATATTTTTCCTTCTCCCCTGAAGATGGAGGCGATACGTTCCTCCGAAACGTCGGTTAACACCACATATACACGGTGCCAAATCCCAGAAGTCTGCTTTCTTCAAAAACAGTTTTCTTTACATGCTAATGTTTTTGGCAGTCAGAAAAAGAATTAAGGGTTTGCAAACTGTGATATTGTGACCCGCTAAAGTAATGAATAAATTTATGCAACCTCCATGGTATATTGGTACAGTATGGACATAAATCGCTCTACAGGCTCTACATATGCAATAAGTTATAAAATATTCCTGTACAGTCATGAAAAAAATTGTGAGATGTTTTGCCATATCAGGTACATTTTCTGAGGGAATCTGTCTGTATTAAATCTTACTAGTTTACTGATTTATCAGAACTGTGAATGGATACTACTATATTTGAAATAATTCTTGAGAACTTGATGACCTCCCATAAACTAGTTTCTGATCCCCACGGTGTTGCATTCCACAATCTGATAAATTATGGGTTAAGTCGATTTTCATTCAAAAGTAAAGTTAGTCATCATTACTACAAACAACTTGTAACTCTTTAAATGATGTAATTGTCTTCCAAAAATTGTTTTAATATTAACTTATTGAGCTCAGTCTAACATAGTCAGTATAGTAATTGGCTATGGGCTGAATGGCTGAGGGTTCAGAATTTGAGTCATGGTAGGGTCAGAGATTTTCTCCATGTCCAGACTTCCTCTGGAGCCTACCCATCCTCATATTCAATGGGTTCCTGGGACTCTTTCCCTGGGGGTACGGCAGTCGGGTCGTGAAGCTGATCACTCAACTCCAACTATTGCCAAGGTCAAGAAAATGGATCTATACATCCACTCCCCCACATGCCTTCATGGCATAGTGCTTGCTTAGTGAAGCACTAGGACAACTTAACCTTACCTCATTAAATTATTAACTTATAGAAATTTGTTTATAATTTGGCAGGAGTTTTGATGTAAGAAGAGTCAAGAAGAAGTACTTCTCATGTGATGTTAACTGTTCCGGAGATGGAAATCCTTACTTAAGACCCCTTAAATCTCTTGTGAATGAACAGGACTGCTTTATAGTTTGTCTCTCTCTTTCCTATCAGTACCAGCTGAGTACTGTAACCTGAAACATGGAATTTGTAAGGCCATTGCATCAGTTGAACAAGAAACTTAGAGGAGTTTGTGGTTTTATGACATATTGTGACAGTTGCCATCAATATTTGAGATCTGCGGATGAGCTGGAATTGCATAGGCTCTGACAGGCTACTGGTTGGACTGTCAAGGAATTGGGGATTCAATTCCTGACAGGGGCACGATATTTTTATCTTCTCCACAGCATCTTGACTGGCTCTCGTGCTTAATTAATTAAGCACAGGGACAGCTTTCGAATTTGAGGTTTTCACAGCAGTGAATGGTAAGATTACTGACTTCTGTGATGATATGCCATGTAGTTTTGGGGGTAGGTGCCAATTTTGCAGGTACTTGCTATATCCAGTTTTAGGGTAGAAGTGGGTGACTGCTTCCATTTTCAGGACAGAAGAGTGATAGTGACACTTCCATACCTTCACCTTCACGTGTTTTCGATGCTATCACATTCTGGTGCTTCCATCGGCTAGCAATATGTGTAATTCGTTTGTCACTGATATTACTGCCCTCTGCCGGCATATTCTCAAGCTACTCATGCCATGTGTATTTCACTTGTTTCTGAAGTTATTCCCTGGTAGAAAGTTGGGTAATCTTTGTCGATTGATTCGCCATACAGTGTTTTACGCCAACTAACGCACCTTCAACTGTTTCTGATGCGACCGCATCCTGTTGCTTCTTTTCAGTACAATATGTGTAATTCGTTTGTCACTGATATTGCTGTCCTATGCCGCTGTTTCTTAAGCTAGTCCTGCCATATGTGTTTCCTTTTTTTAATAAGTTACTGCTCCATGGTGGCAAATTAGGTTACTTGTCGATTTTTGAATTAAAGCACCTTGAATTGTTTCCGGTGCAAGCGCATTCTGGTGCTTCTTTCCAGTACTAATATCGTTAATCCACCGATATTACTGCCATCTGCCGGTGTGTTCTTAAGCTACTCGCGCCATGTGTATTTAGAAAACCCTTTTTTTCGTCGTATTTTTACAAAACAATGCAGCAACTAAGTTGCATGTCGACATACGCGGCTTTGAAAGATAGTCCTAAGGAAAAGGTTTCTTTTCGTCTCTTACTGCAACTAAATGAATAGGTGGCAGCACAGTGTCTTCGCGAGAGGCAAGGAAACGGAAAACTGCTACCTGAACGAAGTTTATTGAGATATAAAGGCCTCAGTGTTGTATTTTTGGATTTGACGCCGTTACTTGAACCCTGGGGATTAAGGCAGTGTATTCCTCAGAGGAAGTCAGAAGTGGCGATGTAGCCAGCGAGTCTCATTAAAAAGTCGAATGTTAAACAAACTATTTTCTGTCGAAAATGCTTGGTTTTTGCTTTCAGGTTATTTTTTATTATTTAACGACGGCGTCAGTATGGAGACCACAGATTCTAGCTACATTATTGATGAGTAGTGGACTAGTAGAGATTATCACGGAAATCTCAGTTATGACCAATATTCCGGCCGAGATTTGAAGCGAGCACCTCCTGGCTACAAATGTAGGACCTCGCTGCTACGCCAACCTGCTCGGTGTTTCCGTTTATTGAAGGCGATATACACTCGCGTATGTGCGCTTTTTACCACATATTCTCTGGACCAGAGAAAATTTTCGTTCGGGCCAGGTTTTTCCATTGATACGGGATCCGCTAGGTTTTATAAAAACAAAAACAGTCCGAAGTTTTCGCCAAAATCTGTATCTTTAGTCTGAGGGAAAAAATCCAGATTTGAAACCTCATGGATTCGATTGCGTCTCGAAAATTCCGAAAGCGCTACGTCATATTCAAGTGGGCGCGTCGTCCAGTTTTCCCGTCGCTCTAATTCGCACAAAAATCTGAGAGGCTACTGCGAGTGTGCTGAACAGCGAACCCATGCAACTGTGGCCTCCTTGAGAAGCCACCAGTTTTCAGCTATTCAAGAAATTATCAGCATTTCATGGAACGTCAAGGTTCATTACCGTGTTCGCAAGAGCCCTCCAGTGATCACTACTGAGTCAAATGAATCCAGCTCCACACTCCCGCATTATATTTATTTGAGTCCGTTTAATGTCATCCCTCCATCTTACCATTGGGCTCTTCTTTCCATCACTTTTTCCCACCGAAACCTCTTTTCTCCGATGCGTCCTGAACTACCCTGGATATGGTAAGAAAATATTTCTCATGCTGGCTAGAAGTTCAGTGGGAGGAATCTTCAATTGTTGCATAAATTTGTGAACATTTTTTTCTTTCCACCTTCTCCCTCATTCCTTTCTGATCCAATCCTGTTATCATTCATTTCCCCCTCCTTTCTCCCTCTCCTTTACATTAGAACACTTTAGGTTAGTATCGCTGAAGACATGCTTGATGCGCTGCTCACTTCGATTAATGGCGTTTAAGGCATTGGGGTAGAATTTCTGTACAGTCTTTCTTCTCGGCCCCTTTAAAACGCCACAGATGTCGCAATCATGTTGGAGAGTACTGCACCACCGCGGGCCGGATCCAATTCTCGCGACGACTCTCAGTCGCTAATGTCGGTCCGAGGAAGTCCGGCTTGCCCATCAGTCACCTCCGTGACGTAATAACATTTCTCCCTCTTCTACGCATCTGAAGGGGGATGGATGTGAGAAGGAAAGGCAACCCGCTGCGCTGAGCTGCGGAAGGCACCCCGTTGGGACAGAATGCCTGTTAATGGAGGCCAGTAATTCGTTTAGCGCGCTGTGCCCATATAAGGGCAGAGTATCATGTCGGGGCCCACAGACTCTCTGGACACGCCGCCAGCTCCCGCACACTGCACACAGGTAAGAACTGCAAACATCTCTGAGGTGTGAACCAACGAAACTTGAGCTACCGTCCGTCGTGTCTACTGGCATGAGAATACACGTCAGTAATGGTGACTCACTCTCAGAGATGTTTGAGAGTCACTGCATGGGGCAGGGACGTTTGTGTTCTTTCACCCCTATATGCAGGCAGATGGGCTCTGGGGCCCAGTGATTCCCGAGCTCTTTGTCCACAAATAAAACGGGTGGTAAGGGGGACATTCATGTCCATCTGGTGCCACTGTAGAAGAATATTTGGAGCTGTACTGCTACGCCCCCTGTACATTTCACGATGTGATGCATGGGGGCAAGGGACTGAAACGTCTCGTATTCTTTCATTCTTTCACCCTCTTTGTTATTTCCATAATGTTGCGCCCACCACAAAAGTTTGCACAGCCCGGAAGTGGCATGGCGAGAGGTTAAAGAAATGAAAAGCTACTCAACCTCTGGCCGCGCCATAGATCAAGCGGTTAGTCGCTGGCTTCCCACCGCAGCGGCCCGGTTTCGATCCCGGGGTTTGGTCAAGTGGGATTTGTGGTGGACAAAGGGGCGCTGGGGCAGGTTTCTTTTCCGAGTACTTCGGTTTCCCCTGCCAATCTTCAATCCACCAATTGCTCCACAATCACCCTCACCTATCACCTTGGGCTGGTACAATAGGCCAGAAGTGGCCGCAGTACAAGGGACTTAGTCCCACCCCACTAGCAATAAAAAAATACTCCACCTCTCGTGCTTCTGTTGCGGGATGTGAACACGCGAGCTTCTAGACCAGAGACTTCTGCGTTGTTACTGGAGTTAATGGCATCTCCTTCACCCTGCCTGAGCAAAATGGCGGTTTGAAGTCAATTAATTGCTTTATTTCGTTGTCTTCTATTTGTATTGTGAAACAGGAATGACTTGGCGATATTCTGACAGGCTTACGGAAGAGTGGTCCTTGCCCGAGGATATTGGTTT